GAGGAGAAGAAAGATGACGAAATGAGGAAAGAAAAGGAAAAGAAAGACGAACTAATAAAGCAAAGAGAAAAGCAAGAGAAACGAGAAAAGGAGACACACCTTTCGCCTCCCGACGTCGCTCGCCAAGGACGCCACGACGGCCCCCTGGAGGAGCCGAAGCCCCGAGGGCAGGCGGCGCCCGAGGAGGACCTGGCCCCTCCCGACGGCGGCTGGGGGTGGGCGGTCACCGTCGGAGCCTTCATCATCATGGTGAGTCGTCGCTGAGGCCTCGGAGGTCAGCGCTAACGAAGGTTCAGTGAAGAACGTAATCAGTGGTAATTTTGGTTGTCAAATCCCCTCGCCATAATCAATATTGTTTTTGTTTATTAATAATGTTACCTGTCATGGAGATTGTAATGCAATGAATATATCAAATTTCATCTATAATGCTTACATTGCATGGAGATGTAAGCTACCAAAATTGCAAACTGTAAGACCAGAATCTGACATAATTCTAATCAATTCATATTCAACCTAGGTTAATATCCAGACCACAATTTTATCCTGAAATTCAATGTTCACAATACGAATAGCATGTATGAAGTCATTAAGATTGAACATTCACGATTATCATTAATCAATAAAGGCATAGTGTCCAATTCAACTGTCAGTATGCTGCACTTTAATATGCTGACCTGCTCTTATAGTTGTTCATTCTGCACAAGCGTCGTGCGTTACTGCGTTCCGTGGCCTTGATAGGCGTGGTATTGGTCGCAGGGGACACGGCGCCCAGATGCACATCAACGTTGCCATATCATCTGGTACTCATAATCTATATTTTTATTTTATACTATTTATCAAAAATATTTTAAAGTCTTATTTTTATCCCATCTGTATAAACGAATGTGTGGACGCTGTCATATTAGAGCAATAATGTCATGCATGAATATAGAAAACAAATATCCTTCTGTTGCCATGCGCGGAACGTCTATCGCCACGGGAAATATTTGGCGAGTCGTCATGCGCATGGCCGATGAAAACTGTCCATGAAACAGATTCTTGTCATTCCCTGCTTTGCTTGTTCCGCTTCTCCTTGTTTTGTCTCGTAATTGTTATTATAAATAAAAGGGTTCATATCATCGCTGCCATTATCATTCTCGTTAACACAACAGTCTTCATCATTATTCCTATCAACAGTGCAATCATACAATAATTTTGTTTGTATTTGTTTGCAAATGAATTGAGATGCATAATCAATGGATATCTATAATTTCAAATCAAACGGTTTCAGCATCAGATAAAATGGATTCAAATGTCTGTGTTGTCATAACCTTGGTTTAGTATTTTCAAAGAACACGAGACGAGAGGGTTGCCAGTTGCAATATCATATATCTCCAGCAATTATCAATATTGCTTTTAACATGTGGATTATCATTATTATAATCGTTATTATTATTATTATTATCATTATGTTGTGTTTATTTTCCTGTTGTCTATTTTATTATTTTCATTTGTTGTTGTTGTTACCACTGATGATATTTTCATTGTCATTGGTATTGTTATTGGTATTATTGTCATCATTTAAATACCGTTATCATTAATGTCGGAATAGTAACACTGACTGGTTATAATCATCGTGCTGCCGTATAATTATTATCATCATTATCATCATTATCATCATTATCATCATTATCATCATTATCATCATTATCATCATTATCATCATTATCATCATTATCATTACCATCAGTATCGTTACCATTATGATTTTGATATTTGGCATCAGCATCATTATTACCATCATCGACACTGATATAAAGATACACTTTATCATTATCATAATTTTTATAATTATTATTATCATTATCATAATCATTATCATTATCATATTATTATTATTATTATTATTATTATTATTATTATCATTATTATTGTTATTATTATTATCATCATTATCACTATTATTATTATTATTATTATTACTATTATTATTATTATTATTATTATTATTATTGTTATTATTATTATCACTATTTATATTATCATTATCAATATTGTTATTATTATTATTATCATTATTTTTATCATTATCGTCGTCATCATCATCATCATCATTGTTATTATCATTATCATTATTATTACTATTATCATCATTATTAATATCAATATTATTATTGTTATCATCATCATTATTATTATCGCCATTATTATTCCTATCGTTATTATCATTAGTAGTAGTAATATCATCATCATCACCATCATCATTATCATTATTATTATCATTATCATCATCATCATCATCATTGTCATCATCATCATTATTGTTTTGTTGTTATTAATATTGTCATTATCATTCTTATCATCATTATTATTGTTACTATTGTTATTGTTATTATTATCATTATTATTATCATTTTCATCATCATCCTTATTATTATTACTATCATCGGTATTATCATTATTATTATCATTATTATCATCATCCTTATCATTATCATCATAATTATCATTATTATTACTG